TTAACCAAAAGCATTGCCTGTCTATTGTGGTGATTAGAAAACATCACACACTTTCATATATTACTAAATCGCCAAAATCACAAAATTTATCAAATCTGTTTTTGACTAACACTAGTATGACTATGTGAGCCTCATATATATCGCAATTTATAATGCCACGAACGGTGGCTGTCCCGGACTATATGCGTTACTACACGGAAGGTACTAGAATAATCAAACGGTACTGCTTATCAGCAAAGTCCACATGTCGCCCTCGCAGGGAATCGTATTGAAGATACATGTTTTGAGCAAATAATTACCCTAACCGTTGCTTAACCAACAAAAACACGCACCTTATGGAAACGCGTCACAGCACGGGATCTCTAGTTCCATTTACCATAACAATGCATCAGATCACGCGACAGTATTTGATTTTGTGGACAGTGAATACAGGTTTCTAATGGAAATTCTGTCAAGGTGTAATTTTGATGCGATGGCCAAATAAATTTCCATTGGCTGGCAAAAATGACAAAAAGAAGTTGAAATCTCATAATGAATTCTTCTTCTGAAACGAATCTGATATGATTAAGGGAATAGAATATAAATTGATCCTCATATATTGGGCAGGTTTAAACAGTGAAAACAAGAAAATAAAATCGCGCAAACAACAAATTGCATAGACTTTTCCATACACCATCCACACACAGTTCATATCACAGTAAAATTTTTATCTTCGGGAATTTGATGATTTCAAATGTGAACATACAGGTGTATGTATTTACTCTGAAAATATAACTGATAAGGTTATATGACGCTTGACTCTACGATAGTGAAGAATATATAATTGCCAGCAGTACATTCGCTTTGCATTTAGATAGGTAAGTAGCATAATACTTAATGCACGTTTAATAGTACGTGGTGTGAAAAATTGAACATAATGTTAACACACACTATTAAAGTAGAAATGTATTATGATTTATGTACCCAACTCAAACTGTAATACTATGTGTAATTGTCATATGAGCGTCCATAAACAAGTGAACATAAACATGAAAGATATAATATTGCGAAAGTCAAGGTAAACTGATAATATGCTTTTAATGTAGCATTTTTTTCTAATTGATGTGTACCTCACTTCCAGCAAAAATGCGCAAGATAATGATCCTAGCCATGGTCTCGTGTAGTGTACAGTTGTGTACTGCTAATCTCCGCCATGGTAACCCTCACAAGAAGGTCCCTGTATCACATTTATATATCGCGGTTCTCAAAGTAAGATATTGTCGCACAATTTTTAATGTTGCGCTCACTGGATAGTTCATTACTGCTCCTTTACTATTCAGGTCCAATATTTAACACATATTATCATCGCTTTTCTTTAATAGTTCTTATAAAAAACAGCTATCTTTCTACGGTCAGTAAATCCCTTGAGGACATTGGAATAAGTAAACAATTTTTAGAATAGAATAGAATAGAATGCCACTTAGCCAAATTCACGTTCATACTTCTCACACGTCGACACATGCATCAGCCTAACAATCTATATCTATTTTATCGAAAGTTTACATACGAGCGACACACCCTCGAATACTCTTCTTTGAAGTTTTTCATATATATCAATATTGAGCGAGGTTCTCTGCTCAACTTCCATATGAGTACTGTTATTTCTCTCTGAACTGAATAAAATTCAGTTTACTTGGGTCAATGTAGATATGTCTGTCGATATAACCAATCAATTCACGTTATATAGTCTATGTTTACTCAAACAAAGTCAATATTTCAATTCAATATCCTACAAATTTGAGGGATTAATACCAACTTATTTATTCCATTTAATTCGGGTCTATAAACATGGTGGATCTCTTCGTTGCAGTACAAATCAACACTTAGCAAATCAGTGTAAGTAACAAATCAGCAGAACCAGGTCTTGTCATGCACGCTCGTTTTCAACTCTAACTTTAAATGAGCAGTTTCTGTGAATTACGGCATTATTGGAATAGATAATGGGTGCTTTATAAAAACTATTATTAATAGTGAATGTCAAGATACAGTAAATAACTACAGTTTCAGCAACATACATGAA